TCTTGTTGTAGAAATTTCAGTCAGTCGACTACCTGTAGCTCTGGGCAATGTCCACTCTACATTTTAGTTGTATTCCATTGAAATTGTTGTGTGCTGCCGCGGCTAGATGTCTACCCGAGCAGCCATCTTGGATCCTCCTCAGGATTAGGTCACCTTTAAAAAAAAGCAGGGCCCGTTTTTAAAATGTGCTCTAACCACCCATGTCCGAGCCGAGCGGAGGCTGGAGGCCGGGGCCGTGTCCAGGCGAACCGTGAGGGACCGGAGGAGCTGCCTGCCAGCCAGGCAGAGACGGTGCTGCCACTTACCCCTGAGGCCGAGGGACCATCCGGGCGGCGAGCGTGAACAGTGAAGGTCTGAGGCTGTTGGAGTCGGGGGCAGCCTCCTGGGGGCAGCCAGGCTGCCCCAGTGCCTGAGGGACAATCCGGCTCCGCCCCCCCCTTTCTCTGCCGCACACTCGGCCCCTCAGCGTCTCCGAGGTCCGCGGGGCCGTGTCCGCTGGGTGCTGCGGTCTGTCTGAGGCCGGGACAGCGAGGGGGGCTGGCTGGCATTTTAAGGTTTTTACAGTTTTCCTTCCTCAGCACTTGCCTGCCGGCTCGGAAAGGGGGTGGGACAGAAGCCACGGCCTCAGCTGGCTCTTCTCGCTTTATTGGGGGGGGGGTCAGACGCACCGGTCGGCGGCCATGGCCGGGCTGCTCTCCCGGGGGGGCTGCAGGGACGAGAGGGGACATGGCACAGGCACTGCCACCGCCGGTGAGACCTAACGGCTCGGACACCAAAGGAGCCACAGAAACCGAACAGCAGCCGGACCGCACCCCCTTGTAAACCCGAAGAGAGGCCTCAGGTGGCCGCCACGCCCACTGGACACACACACAGCGGCACGTCCACCGCAGGCCGTGGCTTCAGGGCTCCGCGGCCGGCCGGCCGGACAGCGCGTCCCCCGTAGACAGCAGGAGTGGGTCGCGGTCAGCAGGACCCCAGGCCGGTGCACCCCGCAGGCTGGGGCCTCTGTCACCGACTCTCAGGACGGAGACCGCCTTCCCTGCACGGGAGCCGAGCTCCTTCCGCTGGCGAGGCCGGTGCCCACTTTCCGGAACCAACTGCTGCCGGCGGGAGGGCGAGGGGCGAGGGAAGGCCTGGGCCAGGAGGGCGGAGGCCCCGAGCTCCGGAGCCTGGGGGCGGCCACGGGACGCGGACACACGGGACACGGGACCCGCACACGCTCTCCGACGGCTCCGCCCTCGGAACCCGTCCGCTGCCTCCAGGGGCAGCTCCTCAGGCGTTTGCAGGCGACGGGAGTGACGCGGATCCAGGAAGCTTCTGGAAATGGCAGCCCCAGCCCCACCCCGAGCCCAGGAAGCCACGGGGACGCCAGCATCGCCCACTTCGGCCCATTGGAGGGCAGCTTGTGGACAGGAACGTGGAAAGCCTAAACTCCCCAGCGTCCAGCCACGGCCCTGCACGTCCACGGTGACCCCATGCCCGGCCCCGCACCAGGCCGGCCCCCCACATCACACCAGCCCGCCCCCCCCCATCACACCAGCCCGCCCCCCCATCACACCAGCCCGGCCCCCCCATCACACCAGCCCGGCCGGCTTCACCGGGCCACCCTCTCCCGCCTGCTGGGTGAGGCTTGGCCCTGGGTGGCCACCACCGGAAATGGCTCCACAGGCATCTGTCAGGGGGTTAGACACTGAGTTTCTTGGGGGGTTGCACCCCACTTCTCCCTCGGTGGCCGCAGGGACACTCCTGATGCCCCATTGATAAGGTCTGTGCCCCAGGCAGCCTGGGCTTCCAACCCTTTCCTGGGAGGGGAGGGGAGGGGAGGGGAGGGGAGGGGAGGGGAGGGGAGGGGAGGGGAGGGGAGGGGGAGAGGAGAAGGGAGGGGAGGGGAGGGGGGGGGAGGGGAGGGGGAAAGGAGAAGGGAGGGGAGGGGAGGGGGAGAGGGGAGGGGAGAGTAGGGGAAGAGGAGGGGAGGGGAGGGAGGGGAGAGTAGGGGAAGAGGAGGGGAGGGGGAGAGGGGAGGGAAGGGAAGGAGGTGAGGGGAAGGGACAGGAGGGGAAGTGGAGGGGAGGGGAGGGGAGGGGAAGGGAAAGGAGGGGGAGAGGGGAGGGGAGGGAAGGAGGTGAGGGGAGGAGACAGGAGGGGAAGTGGAGGGGAGGGGAAGGAGGGGGGAGGGAGTGGAGGGGAGGGGAGGGGGAGAGGGGGTGAGGGGAGGGGAGGGGGCGAGGGGAGGGGAGGGAAGGCGGTGAGGGGAAGTGGAGGGGAGGGGAAGAGGAGGGGAGGGGAAGTGGAAGGGAGGGGAAGGAGTGGGGAGGGAGTGGAGGGCAGAGGGGAGTGGAGGGGAGGGGAAGGAGGGGGGAGGGAGTGGAGGGGAGAGGGGAGTGGAGGGGAGGAGGAAGTGGAGGGGAGGGGGGAGGGGCCTCCGTCAGGGCCATGGGCACTGGAGGGCTCTGTGATGCCAGCAGCAGCTTCTCCCTGCAGCCCACCCCCGGGCTGTGCAGAGGGGAGCAGCCTGCAGGTCAGACCAGCCTGCCTACTCCAGGAACAGGCTTCAGCATTGGCCTGTAGTTTTATACACTTAAACTAGATACCTAAATACTCTCCTATACGTTCAGAAAAATAATATCTGTGAAAAAGCACATGTGACGATGACAAGTTAAACATCGGCCTATGGGACTGCAACACGTGACGGCACGGCTCTTACACGCCAGGCACACAGCTCGCCGCGCACAGTCCCCAGACACGGGGAGGGCGCCGTAGACGCCACTTAGACAGCGGACAGACGTGTTCACGCGTAGAGGGGACTCCTCTTTTCTCCGCTGCACATGCACCCCCCACGGGAGCCGGGAGCAAGGCCCATGGACCACACACACGTCTCTGCACAGATTCCTTTTCTGCACACGTATGTTCACACATGTGCTGACCACTGGGCAGGGGAGGGTCTGCAGCTCCTGTCCCTGAGGCAGCACGCCTTCGCCACGCCTGCACCACACCTTCGCCACGCCTGCACACGCGAAGCCAGCTTCCTGTCCTCGCCGGGGTGTGAGGGGGGCAGCGAGGGGCAGCCTGCCGCTGGCCGGGCCCAGAGAACACGCCCTGGGGCGGTTTCACAGCCACGGAACGGGCTCTGGGCAATGCGTGTTCCACATGCACGTGGACACGCAAACAGCCCGGCCTAATGTCGGCCTGACGGCAGCCGGAGCTGGCGTGTTAAGGCCGCCGCCGATAAACCTTCGCGGAACCGAACCCCCTCAGGGCCCCGCGGGAAGGTGCATCGCGGGAGCAGCTGCTCTGCTCCTCTGCCCAGCGCGAGCCGGCCCCCGAGGCGAGCCTGCATGTCCGTCCGGCCTTCCCGGGGCCTTTCCCTTTAGTGAACCTTCCAACCCGCAGAACGGAGACACGAGAGGGTATTGCTGCGTGTGCGTGCGTGGAGCCGAGACCCCTGCGGAGGGCGCGGGTGGGCGCGGGTGCGGAGGGCGAGGGGCACCTGGACGCCGGTCCTCTGCCCCCCGAGCTGCGGCTCCAGACGCCCCGCCTGGGGCTCTGCCCTCCCGGCGTCACCCTCCTCACAGGCCAGCCGCCTGGGTGGCCCCGCCAGAGATGGAGCCCATCGGCCAGCAGGGGGAGCTGGCTCCGGGCACCGCCACTCGCCCCGGGCTGCCAGGGAGGAGCGGCGTCCGCCCTGGAGGGCGCTGAGCACCCCCACTGGTCCCTGATGGCAGGCACCTGCAGGCGGGGCTGGGGCGCCCGGTCTGACCGGGAGAGGGAGAAACCGCGCGGTGACTGCGGACCAAAAGGAGGGCTTTCTTTCAGATCGGTGGATCAAGGGTCAAAGCTCAAAGGCCTCTTGGTGCCTCTCGGCCCGGGCACATCTGCCAACGGGGGACCTGGGTCTCGTCCCTCTGACAGGGCAGGCCGGGTGTGCTGTCACTGCCCAGCTCCACACACCTGCCCGAGCCTCACAGCGGGACCCCACAGCCCGGACCCCACAGCCCAGACCCCACAGCCGGGGCCCCACAGCCCGGACCCCATAGCTGGGGCCCCACAGCCCGGACCCCACAGCCCGGACCCCACAGCCCAGACCCCACAGCCCGGACCCCACAGCCCAGACCCCACAGCCGGGGCCCCACAGCCCGGACCCCACAGCCCAGACCCCATAGCCCGGACCCCACAGCCCGGACCCCACAGCCCAGACCCCACAGCCCAGACCCCACAGCCCAGACCCCACAGCCGGGGCCCCACAGCCCGGACCCCACAGCCCAGACCCCATAGCCCGGACCCCACAGCCCGGACCCCACAGCCCGGACCCCACAGCCCAGACCCCACAGCCCGGAGCCCACAGCCGGAGCCCACAGCCCGGACACCTCTCGGGGAGTCCCAGCTCCTCGCCGCCAGGGCCGGGCACTGGAGCGGGAAGGCCGGGCGCTGGCCGCCGGCGTCGCCATGACACATCACCCGCAGCGAGCGGCCCTGGCCAGCGCCCGGGATGCCAGCGGGTCGGGCAGCCCCTCCGCCGCTGCAGCGACGGCTCCTCCTCCACCCCCCCTCCCGCTGTGGGAATCAGAGCCCAGTCGCCCCCGTGGTGCTGGGATCCTCGGGAGCCGTCCCCCGCTCCCGGGGAAGCTGGGCAGCGTGTCGGACGAGACCCCCGAGGGGAATGAGGTTCCAGGCGGCGGCCGGACCATCGTCATTTCTTCCCAACACAGGGCCGGCCCGGGGGACGGGCGGGCGGGCGAGGGAGGAGACGGTGGGGGAGTTCTCTGAACGGCAGGCACAGTCCATGACCCTGTGGTGCCGGCGCCAGGCCCCGGCCCCTCCCGCCGAGCGGAGCCTGCTGAGGACGGAGGGAGCCGTTTGGTCCGGAGAACGGGAGGCTGCGGGGAGGATTGTCGAGAGTGGCTGCTACGTCGCTAAGGGCCTTTCTCCGCGCCGGTGGCCGTGGCCGCCCGAGGCCGGGCTCAGGGCGCGGTCCCCGCCGGGCCGCACCGGCGGGCGCCGGCCTAGGGCTCGTCGAAGAGCTGCAGGTCCAGGCGCACCACGATCTCGCCCGTGGGCACCTCGTGCAGCAGCAGACACTTGGTCACCGGCCCCTTGGGGCCCTGGTCCCTCCTGATGTCGGCCACGCGGATCTCGGTCCGGCCCAGGAAGTCTGCGGGAGGGGACAGGGTGCTCAGGGCCTCGCCCAGGCGCCGCCTGGCTGGGGGCTCCCCGCCAACCGCCTCTCCGCCTGGGTGGTCCAGCAGGGTGGCTCAGTGGTGAGCATCGACCTTTGAACCAGGAGGTCACGGTTTGGGTCCATTCCCGGTCAGGGCACGTGATCCCCGGGGTGGGGCGTGCGGGAGGCAGCCAGCCAATCCATGATTCTCTCCGTCGTTGATGTTTCCCTCTCTCTCTCTCTCTCTCTCTCTCTCTCTCTCTCTCTCTCTGAAATCAATAAAATATCTATAAGTATTTTGGGTATGGAGTGTTTAAAGAGAAGCCACGCCGGGAGGTGGAACAGACCCCTGGTCCCGGTGCCACTGATGGTTCTCTCCGGGAAGGAGCCCGGTGCGGCCTCAGCCTCACCATCGGAGTGCGGCCGGCAGGGCGGCCCGGCAGCAACGACCTTCCTGGCAGCTCAGCTGGAAGAGCGGTGAGCCCGTCCGTCACTGCGGCCAAACTGGCCACCCCAGCCACCCCCCAACCCGTTCTCCCCGGCCACCCCCAAACCCGTTCTCCCCGGCCACCCCCCCAACCCGTTCTCCCCGGCCACCCCCCAACCCGTTCTCCCCGGCCACCCCCAAACCCGTTCTCCCCGGCCACCCCCAAACCCGTTCTCCCCGGCCACCCCCAAACCCGTTCTCCCCGGCCACCCCCCAACCCGTTCTCCCCGGCCACCCCCCAACCCGTTCTCCCCGGCCACCCCCCAACCCGTTCTCCCCGGCCACCCCCCAACCCGTTCTCCCCGGCCACCCCCAAACCCGTTCTCCCCGGCCACCCCCAAACCCGTTCTCCCCGGCCACCCCCAAACCCGTTCTCCCCGGCCACCCCCCAACCAGTTCTCCCCAGCCACCCCCAAACCCGTTCTCCCCGGCCACCCCCCAACCCGTTCTCCCCGGCAAAGGGGAGGGGTGGAGCGGCCGGCACGGTGCCCCGACCCCCAGAAACACCTCGGAGGACCCGGGGACGCGCTCTGGCTCAGCAGCCAGATGGGCGGCCAGATGGGCCGGGCTGCGTCTGCCGGGGGCGCCCGGGGCGGGGCCGGGCCGGCGGCCGGAGGGCGGGCTCACCGTCCGGGGAGAACTGGTCCCTCTCAAAGACGGTGATGCAGAGCACCTCCTGCTCCAGGTCCCGGACGAAGAACTGGCAGGTGGAGTTCCACTTGGGGTTGAGGGTGTCCTGCAGGGTCTTGGTGATGTGGCACTGAGAGCCCATGGTCACCTCGCAGTACGGGCTGCTCTTCCCTGAGGCGAACAGGCCGCTGACCGCCCGGCGGCTCCCGGGGCGGGGGGGGGGGGGCTCTGGGGCCGGGGCGGGCTGTGGGGGCGCGGGGAGGGGGGCTCTGGGACACAGGGCGGGCTGTGGGGGCGCGGGGAGGGCTCCCGGGGCGTGGGGGGGCTCTGGGGCGCGGGGCGGGCTGTCCAGGCGCGGGGAGGGCTGTCGGGGCGCGGGGAGGGGGGCTCTGGGACACAGGGCGGGCTGTGGGGGCGCGGGGAGGGCTCCCGGGGCGTGGGGGGGCTCTGGGGTACGGGGGGGGGGCCTCTGGGGCCGGGGCGGGCTCTCGGGGCCGGGGCGGGTCACGTCAGGTGGGCAGCCTGCCCGCTGCACCGTCCGTCTATCCCCTCCATCACCAGCTTAGCAAGGGGCATCGGAGGGAGGACCCAGGCGCCAGCCCCTCTGCGGGCGTCACACCCAGTCTAAGCCCTCGGCGGTGCCGGCCGGGCCTGAGGCGCCCTGTGCTGGGAACAGGCCGTGGGGGGGGGGGGGGTCCCCGGAGGAAGAGGGCGGGAAGGAGTCGGGAAGGAGCTCCCGGTTCTCAGAGGCGCTGGGGAACCTGGGAAGGAAGCGGGGACGGCGGGGCGGCCTTACCGTGGGAGCGGCAGGGCTTGAGCTCGATGCCCTCGACCACGTTCACCATCAGCCGCCCGATGCCGGTGGCCCGCTGCGAGCGCACTGCGGGGGAGGCGGCGAGGGTTCCCTGTCCCGCCGGACCCTCCCCCTCAGGGCCCTTCTCCTCCCTTAAACTCTGCTCTGGTTCCTGGGTTCACTGACCCCCACCCTGCACCCCCCGCCCCCCGCCTCCTCCTCAGCCCCCCCCCCCGGGCCCGGGGGCCTCACCCAGGTACGCCTTCTCCCGCTTCCTCTTCTCCGTCTCCATGTAGAGCTCGGAGGCCGCCTTGATCTTCTGCACCCAGGCCGTCCTGGGGGGAGAGGGGAGCTGGGGCGGCGGGCGGGCGGGAGGCTCCGCTGTGCAGGGCCTCGGGCCAGCAGCACGAGTGCTGGGGGAGCAGTTCTGCTCAC